TCTGAATCTGATCCTGTAATCGCTGATTGCTGAAGACCCTAACTCTTATTTGTTTTGTAGCTAAACATCTCATTCCCTGCTACCGGCTGCCAGAAGCTGATCGAAGTTGATGATGAGAGGAAGCTGCGCATCTTTTACGAGAAGCGTATGGCCACAGAGGTGGCTGCTGACCCTCTGGGAGATGAGTGGAAGGTAAGTCGCTTTCTCTTTATCACACTGGTTTGAATCATGGCACACTAGGAAACCCTTGAGACTGATCTGTGGTCTTTAAGGGGGGACAGAGTGCTGCCAAAGGATCAGTGGAGCTGCTTTCCAGATACAATCAGCCCATTTATTTGTGGCCGATTGAAACAGCAGTGCTCTCCCAACTATCTATAGAAATGAACATCTTTAGTGTTAAAAGATTACCTTTTTGTTTGAGGTATGTTTAAAGTGATGCTTAGTTTATTTTTAGCATTACATTCAACAATTTAACTTTAGTTTGTTACAGATAAGCTGACTTATAGATTAATGTGATAAGTGCTATTTAAATTAGCCCAAATCTTAAATGTAAAACAAAGGGAAAACCTACTTTTACATTATACCTTATATATTTCATTGATATAGTCAAGTTTATTTTTCAACTTGGGTTGTGTGGGACTGACTTCTAAGGTAGTAGTGCTGTTGGATCAGGATTGGGTAACACTAATGATTTTGCATGACCGTAACCATCCTTGAAATTGAAGTTTTTATTATTGTCTAAAATGTTTTTTCAGTGTATTTAAAGTTACGTATTAAATGTCTAAATTTTTGATGCTTGAGAAAATAAGTGTCCATGTTTTCAGTGAAAGATTGTTAAATTGTAAAACTATTGATGTATTTGTATGCAACTTTGTTTTTTAAGGAATTAATACAGGAAGTTAAATGGTTGTTATGAAGCTTAAATTATTTTGTAACAAGAAAAGTATACACTGTATTTATATAAATTTTAAGCTATGTTTTTAACTCGTTATGAATGTAACATGGCATAGCCTGTTCACAGGAAAGCATTAATCTTTCCTACCCCAATATGATCTGTAAAACTCTTCCATATATTCTCTACTTAAACATGCCTTTTCTCCAACACTGTTAAAACATATGCTTTTTTTGATTAGGGCTATGTGGTGCGCATCAGCGGTGGCAATGACAAGCAGGGCTTCCCCATGAAGCAGGGAGTATTGACGCATGGCCGTGTGCGCCTTCTGCTCAGTAAGGGCCACTCCTGTTACCGTCCCCGCAGGACTGGCGAACGCAAGCGCAAGTCTGTCCGTGGCTGCATCGTCGATGCCAACCTCAGCGTTCTGAACTTGGTCATCGTAAAGAAAGGTAGTGTGCAGCTTTTGGGGAATTCTGTCCATTATTCCTTCTGTTAAATGACCTGCTGCTGTTATGTGACGCACACAATGGGTTCCTTTTGACTCGCCAATAGTCAATGAAGGGGGGACAGTGTGTTGCAAGAATAACTGTGGAGCTGCTTACCAGATGCGACCAGACCCAGTGAAAGTGGCTGGTTGAACTGCGATGCTCTCTCACAACTTTTCATTTTCTCACCTTCACGAGATCAGGGCTCTGTACTGTCATTCTTGTATTTTTTTTGTGTTCCTCTTTAGATGGTGAATATTATTTGCTTCAATTATACTGCTTTTTAGAGCTAAATGTACCTCCAAGCTTAGTGTATTTTTTTTTTCCTTCCATTAGTCTTAAACCAAATAAAGTCGGATTCTTTTGTAGAATGTGTTTCCCTGTTTCAGATATATTCCTGTGATGAATATCTGCTCTCTTAATGAATACGGCTTCAGTTATGTGATTTTTCTCACCTCGTGATGTTTTGGCTTTAAGGTGAGAAGGACATTCCAGGGCTGACCGACAGCACCGTCCCTCGCCGACTGGGTCCCAAGAGAGCCAGCAAGATCCGCAAGCTTTTCAACTTGGCTAAGGAGGATGATGTCAGGCAGTATGTAGTGAGAAGGCCCGTGACTAAAGAAGGTGAGATTTGTGTAAGCCTGCATGAAGGTTTTTAGACATGGGATTAGTCTTTTGAAGGGAAAATTTAAGTGAGAAACCACCCAGATGCACCTTCCAGTAGAATTTATAGCAGAATCCATTCTTTTTGGGGTAGATCCTTTGGTTCCATGTTGTTGTTATGGCATTATTAGGGTAGAAGAGAAGTGAAAACTGGCCATAACCTCAAATCATTTTTTCAAAAGTAAAAAAACAGAAATGCATTATTTTTAAATATCTCGGTTTTTAAATGACTGTTAATAACTGTCTCTCTCCTCATTACTTTTCTTAGGCAAGAAGCCCAGAACTAAGGCCCCCAAGATCCAGAGACTGGTGACACCACGTGTTTTGCAGCACAAGCGCCGCCGCATTGCTCTCAAGAAACAGCGCACCCAGAAGAACAAGGAAGAGGCCTCCGAGTATGCCAAACTGCTGGCCAAGAGGATGAAGGTAAGTTTAGATTTCCATTCCATCCAGAAGAATGAATTAGATTTATTTTATGGAAAAGGATCCTATTTTGGCTGCAGTCAGACACTAGGTGTAGAATAAAACGCTAGACAAAAAGTTTCTTGTGCCACCAAATACTAAATTACGTCGATGTTAAATTGTTCTTAAACAGGAGGCCAAGGAGAAGCGTCAGGAACAGATCGCCAAGAGGCGCCGCCTTTCTTCTCTGAGGGCATCCACATCCAAGTCAGAGTCCAGCCAAAAGTGAAATCCACAAGTGAAATAAAGTAATGTTTTGCTGAAAAAAAATCTGATTTCTTCTTTGTGTCTAATGTCTTTGACAACTTTAAAATGCCAAATTCATGAATGAGGAAAAAGTATTTTAAGGATCTCATGTGATTGGCTACAAGCAGATTGATGCTGCTGCACAAAGTTCTTGTGTGGGGTTTAGCTGTTTGATACATTTACTGAGCTGTGAGGGTCCAGTTTAAGCTGCATGCTAGTTTCCTATAGTTTTCCAGTTTTAAATCATTATCTGAACCTTTTTTCCTTTGTTCAGTTCGACTACCAGAATAATTCCTAGTTTAAAAAAGATGTTTATCAGGCAGTGACCATGATATTAGGACTGATCCCTCCAAGTCTTGGTAGTGCATTTTAAAGGGTTCATATGATTTAAGTAGACATTGCATCTCAATTTAATGGTATATGTACAGAATAGGACATCTATTGCAGCCCTTCATTCTTTCAGGTCATTAAGGTGATTTTGAAAAAACCGTTGCATTTGAGGACCCCTGGTGTAAAAGTTCAGATTTTATTAGCATGTGCGGGTGTAACCCACTGGTCACCAACTTTTTCTAAGGCTGAGGGCTACTTCATGGTCACTGGAAGGGCTACAACACTGACCTGTAAGGAAAGGTCACCATTCATATAAACTTTGTGCATAATGAACAGTTTTTTTATTATCTACATTTTTTTAAGATATTTGCATTTTGAAAGCTATATATGCTTTAATTTTTTATGATTTTAGCTTGTGAAAACTACAGAGAATGTCCTTGAATGTAGTGATTTTAGGGAATTAAATCTAGGAAAGAAACCTGGAACACTTCAACCAAAAGCTTAAAGGTAAAATCTCCTGAAATGTTATAAAGAGGACATGAACTGGTCCTAGTTGGTGGATGAAGCTGACATAACCAGAGGCCTGTAGCAAAAGCAAGCAGGGTTACTGGGTTAACCAGACTAATTGAGCCTTAACCCTGAATTTCTGGTACCACCAAGCTGAATTTGTACTCAGCCATGCTAGTCACATGGAGTAACATACTGTTAAATGGTAAACCTGCTCCAGGTCAGGCTAGCTTTCAGGATTAATATGGATCCTAGATAATGTTCCAGTCAGCCAATCAGCTGTTCAAGAAACTGATTTGGCCTTTTGAGGACCTAATTTAAATTTGGGGGGGATCACAGTAATGGAACTTGAAAACCATAAAGCAATTAAAACAATGTTAATGACAGTTTTATTTTCCCTCCTTGACTTGCCAAACTTTAACCGTTCATTCACTTGGTTCTTGTATAATTGTGAAGCTACATAAAAGCATACAATAGAAATCAGAGCACAAGTGTGTGAATATTCTTTGGTTAACTATGACAATTTACAGTAAGTGATACTGGTTTTCATAGGGCTTACTGGGATATATACCAGATTCTAAAACAGTGGGGCTGTACACCGTATAAAAGGATTTATGCCATCCCAGGCAAGTCATTACCTGGATTTATGAATTTTAATATTCACCGCATTATGAAAATCAGGCTATTTTCCTATACAACAAAATGCACGTTTGAATATTATTTGTGTGCTGCAACAATAAAAGACAGGGAAATAATACACTGAAGCTGCACTGATTGGGGATTAATGGTAAAATTCTACCAGTTTCATTTAAGTAGAAAAGACAATAAGGTACAGCTTTCTGTACATTTGTGGTTCCATTTTAAAAGCCGAGTAGATTTGTCCTGCTTAGTTCTGACACAGCTCAGAAATCAGGATGATTTCACTCACCGATCACCTTTTGTATCAATATGCAATCATGGCAATCAGCTTTATTGTAGCCCAGGCATTATTGAATTAATACAACTAACCAAATGAAAAGTTATTTCTATATGGTGGCAAGCCAGCAGTCCTTGCCACCATAATTTGGCATCTCTTCCTTGCAGCCTGCATGGTTTCATTTCTGCAGGATATGTTTTTGTTCAAAGGAGAAACCCACCCCTTTATAGGTGCGTTTTCACGGGTTGATCAGTTAGAGCTGGTTTGATTTGGTGAGTTGAGAACCAGCTTTGTGGCACCTCTGCTCCTAATAACCATTGTCGTAGTTTGGTTAAACTGGATAGATGAAGTAATCCCACTATGTTGGGCTCACTTCCTGGTACATGTCTCTGCATTGGCGTCATCTTGTATCTTTATAGTTTCAATGTGAATCCAGTAATTGGTTCATCTTTAATGTATTTTAGGGGGGGAGGAAAAAGAAAAAAACATGGCAGGAACCATTTAAGCATTTATATACACACACATAGGTAAATTCATTTTATATCCAAAAATCAAACGGCAACATAATCCAACTTAACGACGTACACATCCCTTAACCAAACAACCATTCTCAAACACGGACGTCCTGGTGGGCCTCATTCTGAAAGCCGTCGTACTCTGAGGGTGAGCCTTCTCCTTGGACAGCAAGGAAGCCTCAGCAGCTCTGATGTGGCTCTTAGTTTGTTTTTCCATTTGGGAGGACGGACAGCTCAGATTGTACATCTGTCTAATGAAGAGAAAAACAGAAACCGCCTGATGCTGCAAGAATTGAGGTAGAGCTTGGAGGCTCCACAGCATAGACTGACAGCCTGTGTGAAATTCCTGAACCAGAGTGGCCGGTCTGGATGAACTCCCTGTGATCTGTGGAGTAAGCAGGAGGTTAGGCCGTTTAGGGGACATGCATTTATTACTGACCAACAAGACAAAGATGTCAATTGATTTTTCCATTTTATATCACAATAAATAAGGAAATATAGTTTAAATACAAGTCAGCTAAAAACAGGTCATCCCATTGATAGTCCTTCAAACTATGCAACTGTCCAGTACTCACAGCCCACCTGAACAGAGTGGATCTTTAAGCCGACCATGTGGTACATCCTTCTACACACTTGAGCGGTAAGTTTCATCACTCTCCCAGAGAAACTTCCTGAGCGAACCACTGCCTCAAAACCCTCCACCAAGAGGGCTACTTCTTCTGGGGACAGAAGCAGAAAGGTCGGCATTTTAAAATAAAAACCCCTCAAAAGGAAGTTCCCCATGTTTACCTTTCTCCTCTTCAGATGGCGGAAGCACCTGGTCCACCAGAGCTTCTGACAATGTCAGAGCAGAATCCAGTCCCACACAGGCCACACCAACTGCTCTCTCCACCACCGACTGCTTAGCTCCATCCGTCTGGTGCAGCCTGCCGATCATCCATGTCCCACTTGCTGCAGAGCATGCCACATCCTGAATTTCATTTACCTTGTTTTTGGCAGCAGCAACAATCTGTGGAATCAATTCAAAACCAGTCAATCATACTTTATTCATTAGAAGAACAATGGCATTATTTTGTATAATGGAATAAACCTCATCTGGGGGGGACAGAAGAACAGGAAATGAAGACTCCAGCCAGTCTAGACCTTTGCATGCAAAATCATTTGCAATGGAGACTATTGAAACAAACAAAAAGTGCTTTAATAATAGATTTCAGAGACATATTCCGACTAACAAATGTAAGTTAATAAACCTGGATGAAGTAAGCATTTCCGGAACAAAAAAAAAAAAAAAAAAAGTAAAGCATTGGAGTTGTAATTATTTCCAGCTGAAGCAAAACAGGGAATAGCACTTTTAGTATTATGACTGGTGGGTTTAGCAACTCATAAGTCTTTCTGTATTTTGAAGTTCACTACCTGCACAGTTTTGTTTTGTCAAAAGTAGCAAGTAATGATGAAGTTAAATATTTTTGGGTTTTTAAAATCCTAAAACCAGAATACATTGAAAACTAGGCTTAAATAAAAAAAGATGTTTGAGAACTAAATCAATAATATGTTAGGGATTACTTTTCTCACGAGCTTTCAATCATTGCCGATTTTAAAAAAAGGAAAATCCTGCATTCTTTCTAAATGGGACTAAACAAGAGTTATACAATAGGAAGGCTTCTTACTCACCTTGATTTTTAAAGGTAGTCTGTAAATACCTGATCACTGATCTTGATTAAGGAGAACAGTTTGTGTGTAAAATAAATCTATAAATTAACTGCATTTTCCAAATTATAGTAGTAAGATGACTTGATGATGTAGGCTTAAGCTAATCAGACAGCTGTTGAGAAATACATTAAAGAAGGTATCCAAGCTTCAGTTCGCTGAGGTTTATCATATTAGCAGTCAGCATGGGACTCACTCTGTGGCTCCAGTTTAACAATAACAGGTGAAGCAGTGGAGCAAGCTGCGGAGGTCAGGGAGGTCACTCTGCTCTCCAGAGCCTCACACACAGATTTCAGACTTTGGTTTCTGCTCTTAACATCTCTGTACAGGAGCGCCAGGGTGGAGCAGGCTGAGCGAACCAGGGGCAGCTTGGTGAACCGGGCCGCTGCATTCGGTGCTACTTTCTGAATATTCGGGAAAAAAAAAAAAAAAAAAAAAAAACAGATTCAAGATTCAATAGAGATTTTAGACATATTCAGACAGCAAAAACGTCCCTGAGGCGTTTATTTCTGCTTTAAAGGACTCACCTTGTAGTTATTGTTCACAGGCATTTCCCTGCACTTTTCGAACACCAAAAACGTTGTCAACATGTAAACCACAGCTTCCTGTGAAAACTTTACCTGCTTGGGCAAAGTTTCACGAAAGAATAATAGGCTAATTGCTCAGTATCGCTATTAACTGCGAGGCCACAGCTCTAAAAGCGTTTGGGCGTCATCAATCAGTGCACACCTGGTGAGATTTCTACTTCTAATCTCGCGAGATCTCAGTCATTCAGTAGTCTGGACAAAAAACAAAACAAAACATAAAGTAACTGTGAAATTATATGCATTATTACATGCTGTAAGTTTTTATACTGATATTCTGAGGATATTTAACTATTAAATGGTATTACAAAAAAAAATTATATGAGTAGAGATATGACAACCTGGGAAATTAAAGGTCAACATAAAGTCTTTTTGTTGTCTTCTTACCATTAGAACCCCTGAGTTGAATCTAATGCTTATACGTAAGAGATTGGTCAGACAAATTGGCAAATTGAAATGCGGAGATAATTGATTGAAATCACCACAATTTACGCTTTTGTATGTTTTTCAGGGTATTTAGATACCACCAACCGTTTTAATGAACATCTTAAAGGGCAAATGATGCGGGTTTGCACACTGTGTCGACGTCTATGGACAATATCTAAATTCAATCCACCATCTATCATTATTTGTTGCTTTTATTTTATAAGTAACATGTTTTTTAATACAATTTATTATTAAATTAACTTCCAAACTGTTTCTACTTGTATTATCCGTGTAAAATCTAAGGGTTCCTGTGGTATCTAGACAATTTTAAAGGTGGTTAGATTATAATAGACTTATTTTGAGCAGGTCATGAAAAGAACTAATGATTAAAATGATCGATTTCTAACATCTTCATGACTTTGAGTGGCTTTGTGTGTTTCATTTTCGACGATTGAGAATAGGCGAGCTGATTGACGCACGCTCTGGGCCACGAGGATCTGTCCTTGGTGCTGATGCTGCTGAGGCTGCAGCTGCCGCATCCCGCGTCTCCCCGCGCGCAACGTGCTCCAAAACATCTGTAGAAAAATCACTTTGCGTCACAGTGCGGGAGGCGTTCCAGGGGCAGTCACGCGGGGTGAGATGGCCGACTCTCACCAGCAAACACTATACGAAAAGCAAGATGCGGCACGTGCGGTGGGTGGCGTCCGACCCGCGGATTTCACGTGGCCCCAGCGAGAGGTTCTCCGAGCCGAGCCTCCACAGTGTCAGTCCGGTGCGGCAGCTGCAGCAGGAGGAAACATCCCAAACATGGCTGTGGAGCTGGAGCCCACTGAGTAAGTCCACTCACGATCACTGACAGCAAATACAGATTAACAATAACAACAAAATATACAAAAAAGTATTTAATGTGGAATATTTTCAGCATTAATAAAAAAAAAATATTCGCATGGTTACACCTTATGTAGCTATAAGGAAGGGTTTTGTGATACTAGTTTCCATTGATTGGTTAAATTTAGATGCATTAAGGGGAAAATTAGCTTTTTATTTTTGTTTTTCATACAGCATATTTAATCTATCATTTTTACAAAATTTGTTTTCACTGCATTTTTTTCTAATGGTCTTCTAGCCGTGACTAGATGAGAAGTGGTTTTAGTTTGGCAGCCAGCATCCATGATCTGCATGTGCCTGTTGATCTAATAAACGCTACTCTCTTGTAAATGGTATAGGTTTACCATTTTGTGTCTCCAGTCAGCACTGCTGTGGGTTGTTTTTAAAGTGGATATCTCATATCTATTCACTCCATGTTTGAAAGAGACAATAGGTGATGTTACAGTGCATTGCACATGCCTTGGATATTAATTAGAGACATTAGAGTGAAAATCTCCAATATATTTTGTAGGGTTTTGTTTCATGGGCTAACACAAAGTAGAGAAAAAGTGAAAGGTGGAAGGAAAAGTATGTATACTTTGTTCCTAGATATGAAAAATGCAATAGTTATGTACAGTGATTTAAAGAATCAGTTTGAGTATGTTTAAGTGTCCCTACATGTGCTAGGCACTTGTCCAGTCCAGTCTGATTGGATAGAAACAATGAACCTTAGATTAAAAGTCTTTGCCACCAATTTTCTGCTACAGTCGAGTGTTAGTGTGAGCTGGTGTGTTTAGGGTTTCCTGAGTGTTGGTTCTAAGCTACACATAAACTTTTGCACAGAGTGTGAAAAGTTCAGTTTTGATCTTCTCTGATCTTCTTTGCTAATGTCCTCCACATGGCTCAAGATAAACTATAAACTTTTTTTTTCTTTTTTTTTTTAAAAAGGCTTTTATTTTTAACCTTACTATATCGAGATTGTAATTGTTTTGAGTTAATTATTATGTCCGACTCCTGCACTGAACATAATTGTCAGAGCCCGCACGTTTCAGATTTTTATTCATACAGAATAAATAAAACTCGTTTTCTTTTTCTGACCATTTAAAATTTTTTCAACTTTGTGTTTATCTGTCCCATAAACTTCTTTATAATATATATCAGTTGGTTGCCCTTGCTTAAAAAATAGACCTAAAAAAAATATATGAACAGGGATTTGCACTGAATAGCATTATTGACTGCAGGTGCTTGTTTCTGGATCAAAGTACTGAAGGAGAATTGTGTTTAACAGATGACCCTAAATAGAGCAGAGTGAGGTAGATCAATGTGAAACCAGGTGGCCTGTGCTTGCATTCAACCGGATCTGGAAAAAAATGGTTATGAGTGTTTGGACTTTCCTCTTCTCTGTCTCTATAGTGTGATCCGTCTAATAATGCAGTATCTCAAGGAGAACAACCTCTACCGCACACTCACCACCTTACAGGAGGAAACCACAGTTTCTCTCAACACAGTGCAAAGCATTGAGAGCTTTATTGAGGATGTAAACAGGGGCCACTGGGACTCTGTTCTGTTGGCTATCGAGTCTCTCAAGTTGCCCGACCACACGCTGATTAACCTCTATGAACAGGTGAGTCGGTTTGTTCAGCAGATACTTTTTGGGATGCCTTGAAAAATAATTCATGTACCTTAAACATTTTGTATATTTTGGCCTGTTGTAGCCACAAGTCTCAGTATGTTTTATCTTTATTTTATTTTATCTATTGACACAATGTAGAATCTCAATATAAACTGACAGAAAGATGACAGATGTTTTTTTTTTTTTTTACATTTATTACAAATATAAATCTGAAAATACATTTATATTATGCCCTCTTCATTAGATTTCTATGAAAGGAAACCCAGTCCATGAATTTGGATTCAGTGGAGTTCACCTGTGTGCAATCAGGTCTCCCTGTAAATGCAGCTGTTCTTTTTTGGCCTCTGAGATTTGGCTAAGGTTGTGGAGAATTTCAAAGCTTAAGAATCTTGCAGAAAAAAAAATCTTAACTGCATCATGAAATGACTTAGCTCTACTACATTCAAACCACACGGGTCACTACCCAACATAAAAAAGCCAGATATAAGAAGAAGAGGATGAATTAAAGCTCATTGCCAAGCTGAGAAACACAGTACAGGAGAATCTGTTGATGGGAAAACTATTGACTTTGCGCTCCTAAAATCCAGATTTGGGAACCTGAAGAAACCAATAATCGGTAAAAGAAGGCACAAAGATATGTCTGCTGTTTGCCACAAGTCCCACGATGTGGAAGCAAAGACCCACAGGAAACATAAAGAGCTTTCAGGCAAAACATCACATATGGAAAACTAGACCTGCACATTAAGCCAGAATAAACGATTTCCATGTGAAACATGGCAGGGGCAGAATCATACTGTGAGCATGCCTGTTTTTAGCAAGAACTTGATCAACAGGGGAAAGCTGCTGGCATGAAGAATGAGTTGAACATGGGGAAAATCCTGTTTTGAGATGCTCTCTGTCCAATCTGACTCCCTTTGAGCTATCCTGGACCAAAACAATCCAGCCTGTAGAATTAGTTAACATGTAATTTGCCAAAGCACTTGTAGTGGAAGGTGGTTCTACAAAGCATTCATGCATTGCTCTCCATTGGAAGATTAAATATATTAAATACACAATTGTTTCTGGTTGTGTTTTAATAAAACATGGAGACATTGAAGCGGCAGTTATACTTTTCTAAAAACCCTCCAGTCAGCTGTGATCTTCTCCACAGGTTGTACTGGAGCTCATTGAAATGAGGGAGGTGGGTGCAGCTCGTTCGCTCCTCAGACAAACCGACCCAATGATCATGTTGAAGCAGACCCAGCCTGAGAGGTACGCCCATCTGGAGAAGCTGCTGACCTTTCCTTACTTTGACCCTCGTGAGGTGAGAAAACACAGAGGTGTTAAACCTTCAAGCAAAACAAAATGTTTGGTTTCCTACTTGACATCTTTTCACCGTCGCTGCAGGCATACCCAAAGGGCAGCAGTAAAGAGAAGCGACGCAGAGCCATAGCTGAGGCATTAGCAAGGGAGGTCAGTGTTGTCCCTCCATCTCGTCTCATTGGACTCCTGGAACAAGTCAGCGTAAGTGCAACATTTCATGCTGTTGATGTAGCGCTACTAAAACACAATGATCTTAAGTCATATAAAAGGTAATACTGGAGGATGAAATTAGTTCTAGCATTTAAATAATCCCTTTTGAAGGAAGATACTCATTTAGATTTTCAACATTCTAATAGTCAGAGATCTGTGAACTGAGGAATTTAGTACCATTCATTCTCTCTACTGTAACTGTTATTGTGCTATGATTGTCTACTTTTTTTACATTTTGAGCACCAGGTTGTTGTCTCTGTTCATGCCTCATAATTGTAACAGCGCAAACAGGAACAGACTGAGCACACAGCCAAGAGGGGCTCCAGCGCCCAGCATGATGGTGCAATAACTTTAAGCTTTATGTTCTTGTCCCTGTTTCAGTACATTAGGCGACAGATAAATCCAGATTATCTCTCCCCTGAAATGACAATCGACACAAGCAAGGAGCAGCGGGTGCAAAAAGAAAGCTTTCCAACTCAGCTCTACCGCCACATAAAGGTACTTAACAATGATCAGCACATTACTCTTTACATCCATATACATCAGTGGTAAATGTGAAATTGTTTTCTAAGTTCTGGGTTTATTTCCTTCACATCCTGACACAAAACTAATTACTTTATTCACCTCAAGACACCATTTGTAGTCAGTTTGGGCTCTCAGTGATGTTCCTAGGAGCTGCAGGCGTCGCTCATAATTGCTTTCTAGTGACAAAAACTGATAAGTGAGAATGGTCAACCCACGCTGCTTCAGAGCACCGGAGAAGTGTTTTTCTCCCTGAGGAAGACTGATATTCAATTCTGTTTTTAACCTGCCTATCTGCACTGTAGGCTGCAGTTCAAGAAGAGATTTCTTACAGAAATCTTATGTCATTTTTATCTGTGACTTGAATACACAGTTTGGACGACGATCACATGTGGAATGTGCCCGGTTCTCTTCTGATGGGAAGTATTTGATCACCGGATCAGTTGATGGGTTTATTGAGGTCTGGAACTTTAACACTGGAAAAATTTGCAAGGTAAATCTTTTCATACCTAAAATGCTTCTGCTTCTAATAGTTCCCTAACTTATGATCATTTGTTTAGTCTATTTGTATTTGCTTGAACAGTGTGTGCTTTGCAGGATCTCAAATATCAAGCCCAAGAAAGCTTCATGATGATGGATGATGCTGTGCTGTGTATGTGCTTCAGTCAAGATGCAGATTTATTGGCCACAGGAGCTCAGAACGGTAAAATAAAGGTCCGACATTTTTCATGTCATCGTGATGATAGAATCCAACCTCTTCTTTACTTCTTAGTTTTGATATGTTTGTTGAATGGAATCTAAAGAATAATATAAGAATGTCTTCCTATATTCCTAACATATGCTGCGGAAGGTGTGGAAGATCCAAAGTGGCCTGTGTGTGCGCAGGTTCGAGCATGCTCACAACAAAGGGGTGACATGTTTGAACTTTTCAAAGAACAACGACCACATCCTCAGTGCTTCGTCTGACCAAACCATAAGGTGGGATATCATGGCATGAATCATAAATATAAATTGATCATAAGCAGCTCAGTCAACATTTATTTGCATCTTTGCAGAAGTGAAATGAAAAATCTATTTTGAGAGATAATTCAGGTAAAATTATTGGTTCCACATTTATTAATTGATGAAAGATGAACATAACTGAACCATGTTTTTTCCACCCTTTAATTTTCCCGCTGTGATTTTTATCAATCCACAACTTTCTGTTTTCTTTGGGTTTAAATAGAAGGTGCACAGAAGAAGGATAGTCTCCAAAACTACCATTGGAAGCTTTTTACATGTAAAAGCTTGTTTTAGACTGATAACTACCTTTATCCAAAACTGAGACTGACTGACACCAACTATAAAGGTGTGGGGCAAGGTGGAAAAGCATGTCATGCCTTCTGCTCAGTATAGTGCAGGGTTCATTATCCTGTGGGTCTGTATGTCTTTAAAAGACCATGGGAACCTTTTTTGAGGTTGTGGCATCATGGAATCTTAAGAATAGGTATTTTAAATAGAAACATTTGGTGTAAAATGATCCAAAATCTTGAGCCTAATCAACAAATATAAGCTTCACCCAAGCCCAAAATCATCCCTCTTTCATAGCCATCTTAGTCCCTAGACCTAAATCCTATAGAATAATGTAGAGGGAGATAAAGAGAGGAGAGCACTAGAGAGGTACCGGGACAGGATGATGTATTGAAATTATCTAAATAATTACATGTTTAAAAATTCCTCTTCTCTCTGTTTACTCCAAATTAGTTGAAGATTATAGAAGAATGTTGTTTTCCCAATAATAAAAAGGGTTAATAGATAAAAGGGTTTTATCTATTAAAAACAGCTGAGGTGATGGTATTTCATTTGTTTATATTTTTTATTGCAATTTCTCCACAATAATTTCCCTGCTGAATGAATATACCAAACTAGATTGTGTTCTATTTTTTATTTATTTATTTATTTTTTTTTGTTATGCCAAGGCATTAAATGCTGTTTTTAGTTTCAGGTATTTTAGATATCTTTTTCCAGTTGTGATCAAGATGCTGTAGATAAACTTATTACTACTGTATATATAGTATATATAGTGTACTGAATATAAAAATCTTAAAATGCAGCACCTATTGGAGATAAAGTATTGCAACAAAGAATAAAATAATGGTATTCAAAAATGGTTATATCACTAATCTTAATACAAAAATGTACTTCCAAATGTAACCAATATATAAGGTAGGAGCTTTGATTAGCTTCTGTAGTTATGTATAGAAAGAAGCTTATCTGCAGTGGGATGAAAGAGGGAGATCTTACTGACCTCAGACATGATTCATGAAGGTTCAGTAGATGCATATATAGGCATCAGCACAGACGAGAGATGGAAGTGCATTTTCCCCCTAAACTGCACGTTTACTTTCACAGCCTGTTATAAATTCATGAGAAACAAGAAAGCAGGTGGGAAACAAGTCAGGAAAGTGATCTTCAGTTTTGTTACTGAAGTTCAGTATATCAACCTTTTCCGAATCAGAACTCCACAGTAAAAACTGATCTAGAAATAATTAAAGATGTCTATAAATTTGGCCTTAATCTGATGAGGTAAAAAAGACCTGTCAATGGAATTAATATTTTTGCCCTTAAAGCAATATCATTAATAAGTAATTATTAATTAATAAAAAAAAGTAAGATAATATGCACTTGAAAAAAGATAACAAATTCGTTTTTTTTATGTGAAAGGTTAACTATCCATTGGCAAATTGTTTTACTCACATACTCAACAAAAAACACACATATTTTAAGGAAAAAATTACTCACTTATATTTCATTTTTGGCAATGTGTAGACAAACTTGCATTTTAGACTTGAATAAATTAATCTAAACTGCTGATATTGTATGCTTTAGAAGTAAAGCAACTTTCAAAGTTCAGTAATAACAGCTGCAATCACATATTTTCATCCTCTTGCATAAGAACACCTGCAAGGTTTGCAGTTCCTCAAAAGTACAGGAATATCTGTTCCTACTTCTTCTACAGCTTATACACACAAACACATGCACGCATACTCTGATTCTCCTTACATTATGATTATTTCTGACTCCTGAGGGGTGGAAAGGTGGGTGGAGCCATGAGTTTGAGGCACATGTGCTGTGTGGGTGCATTTGAGGTACCATGTGCTCAAGCACAAAGCTGCAACGTGTTTCTCCACCTTGCAGATCCTCAAGTCAAAAAAAAAATTCTTTGCAAATGGTAAATCATCCACCAGCAGACGAAGTGAATCCATAAACGTGAGATGTCTGGTCATGGTTTAGCTCATCTGTAAAGCCATTCACTCCGCAGGAGCTAAAAATAACTCAGTGGATACACGCTTCGTCTGCTCTCAACAATAATCTGCTCCTCCGGTTAAACTGAGGATGTTTTTAAAGCGAGTCAGTTTCTATGCAGCTTCACTATCTTTTATGTCACCAGATTTTCTAACATTATTTTCAGGATCCATGAACTGAGGTCAGGCAAGACGTTAAAGGAGTTAAACGGCCATTCATCGATTGTAAAGGAGGCATGCTTCACTCAGGATGGTTTTCACATCATCAGTGCCTCATCTGATGGCACCATTAAGGTATGATCGGCCTGAACAATCCTGTTCTACCATAGATTTAATAATTGCCTCCAGTCAAAAGTTAAACACAGATCAGAGGTATAGATGTCATGATACTTTTGGAGCTTGAGCGTCTGGAATGGCTCCAATCTCAACCACATTGAAAGGGTAAATCTTGTAAGGAAACCATTTTATTTAGTTAAAATTAAAAATACCAAATAAAAACAGTGATGAAATATTAATACAGACAAAAACGAATAGTTTGTTACAGAAAGTGTGTGGTTTCTCTGCAACCAGCTTAGGAACGTTTTGCTTGGGTGCATATTTATATTTTAGCCTATAAGTGTAATTCTGATCTTGTTTTCATAAGAGCAAAGCCACAACTAATTCACACTTATACACTCAATTTTTGTTTTATTTTAAAATCAGGCTTTTTTTAAATATTGCTTTGAAAATAGATTGGTTCTAATACATCTTTGAAACCCAAAATTAAACTTTAAACTTAGGCCAGCAGTGATCTTTTGCAAACCTCTCACCAGTACTGCTAAGCTAAAAAAAACTTCCTTGGGTATGTCTTCCCAGATCTGGAACACAAAATCGTGTGAATGCCTTCACACCTTTAAATCCCAGTTAGTTACACCAGATGTCCCAGTCAACAACGTGATTCCCCTTCCACAAAACCCTGAGGAGTTTGTGGTGTGTAACCGCTCCAGCAGATTGGTCATCATGAACATGCGCGGCCAGGTAAGAACCAGACCTCATCCAGTAAGCATGATTTTACCTGTACTGGTTAAACAAATTGATCAAAACAATTCCATGATAAATAAATGGACTTGTTACTTAATGCTAAATAGTTTAATACCACCAGAGTTCATACAAAAATAAGAATTCTTATAATCGTCATCTTTCTAAAGTCTCCTTCCTCCATCTCAAAAACATTGCCAGACTCCGCCCCTCCCTCTCCCAACCGGATGCTGAGAGGTTGATCCATGCCTTTATCTCATCAAGGTTGGACTACTGTAATGCCCTCCTCTTTGGGACCTCTGGTAAAAACCTGCAAAAGCTCCAGTACATTCAGAACTGTGCTGCCCGGGTCCTGATGAGGAGGCGCAAATTCGACCATATCACTTCTGTTCTTAATTCACTTCATTGGCTACCGATCAAACATAGAATACATTATAAACTCTGTCTGCTTACCTATCAATGCATCCATGGAGTTACTCCTGCCTATCTCAGTGAACTCCTCTCATCGCACGCTACTTCTCGTAGGC